TTGATCCTGAATTCACTCTTACAGAAATGTACCAGTCATAAATGTTTGGTAGACTAGGAAACTTTTTCTCGTTCTTAGTATCTCAAATGATTAAAACAGTTTCTCTATGTATATGTGAATAACAGTTACTATTTTGAAAATAAAAGACAGGGCTAAGAAATAGGCAAGAGTTCCATTGTGCAACTCCATTAGAGAAAACAGACAAAAAGCTGTAGAAATATAGCGTTTTCAAATTATTATTATTTCATACCTGTACGTGCATATACTTTGTTTACATATTATAATGTTTGATCATATCATAGTTATTAAGATATTTCACATTTATAACTATAAGCGTTTCGTTTAATTTAAGAATTTGATTCTGGTAATTGGAATATTTTCTTTAAAAATTTGAACCGTTGTTATTTGTATTTTTTGGCGTTGCAGATTGCTCCGGGTGTTAGAGAACGATATCACTTTAAATAATATTACTCGAAAAGTTTTCAAGTAAACATGATAAAACTTCGTAATTTATCTGCCAAAAACACGCTTTATCCATCCTGAAAATTTTATAAAGATACATTAATTTCTTTAAAAGATATGAGCTCAGTCTACGAAATTTTGGGACAACCGTCGTATATTAAGGTTATAAATGTTGTACGAATTTAGTTCTTATCTGATAGTGTGGAATTCTTAAAAAAATAAGTATTTTTTCTTAGTTTTACATCGATATGGCTATCATACACTACCATGTGTCCAAAGTGAGAATTGCACCCAGGTACTTTGTAAGAGTTACTTTATAGACACCTTTAAGACTAATGTGTATTAAGTATTCCAACAGGAATTTCTTTTAAAACGATTAAATACTGTATTTTTAACAATAACTGTCATATTTGCAAACCATTTTTTATCTGAATCTAAAAGGATGGCTATGGAGATAACGAACAGTATTCAATCTCAAAGTCCATAAAACAATACAAAATAGGAGCAGAGCAAACAGGGACCTCCGAAACATTAGAGGTGGGATCAGTGAGCATCCCCTGATGATGTCACACCCACCGTATGCTCCTTGTCATGATCGGGAAATAACAGGAAAATCCGTCATCAATTCAGTGTATAAATAATGGACTAACAATTAGTATGAAAAACGTCAGTCACCATTTAACTCAATGATAAATTGTATTTGCTGACAAGGTCATTGCATCGACCATAGAACTTACGAAATGATGACTTTAATTTTAGAAATTGTTCATACGTAGAGCATGCTCTTGCGTATCGAATCAACTGAGAAATATACTTCGTATGCAGGTGATGAAGGTATATTGCTGCATAAGTAAGGTAAGGGAAATTGACAATAGAAAAGTTAAAGTCATCATATAGCTTGGTTATTAAATTACCATTAACGTCTTTTCAAGTAAAATATCCAAGTATGAAACAAATGTGTACGACTATGTGGTATCTTTATCTCAAGCTCACCAGGATATCGTATCGACGTAGGAATAGGAATGACCATTGTTAATTGACAATACGTCGTCGATATATCGAAATGTCGAGTTGAAGGCCACAGCAAGTGTTTTCTTCTTTTCACGCGTAAGATTTTGCACAAATTCTGCTTCATATGAATATAAAAATAGGTCTGCTAATAACGGAGCGCAATTGGTACCCATGAGAATTCCAATAGATTGTTGGAATACCTGGTCTCCACAAACCACATAGATATTGTCAACACTTTTTGCTGCCAACTTCAGAGTACTTGTGTGTGCAATCAGAATGTGTTTTAACAAAATACATGTAATTTTGCGAATGACCATTGACGAGGTAAGTAAATTCACGAGTTCCATTTTTTTTAAAAAGAAGCTGTCAATGAAATCAAAAAGCTGTTGAGAATGGTTGTGTATAAAGTTGAAAAACGGGTAAGTTTTGAATATGTTGATTATAGTAAAATCTTGTGATTTCAAATTGTCCTAAAGTTCCATGGAATTTTTAAGTAACCATATATCTATGTGGTTTTTTGCGATCATGTTTTCAAACAATCTATTGGAAATCCCATGGGTACCAATTGTGCCCTGTTATTAGCAGACCTTTTTTTTTAAATTTATATGAAGCAGAATTTGTGCAAAATCTTATGCATAAAAAGAAGGAAACACTGGCTGTGGCATTAAACTCGACATTAACATATATCGACGACGTATTGTTCAATAACAATAGTAATTTCCATTCTTATGGCAATACGGTATATCCTGGTGAGCTTGAGATAAAAAAAAAAAGAAGCACACGGCGGGTGTAACCGGTGGGCAGGGGATGCCCACTCCTCCATGGCACCTGATCCCACATCTGATGTTTTGGAGGTCCATGTTTGCTTTGCTCCTATTTTGTATTGTTTTATGGATTTTGATCTTGGATACTGTTCGTTATATCCATATAATATTATTTCTTGAGGCATTTTTTGTTTAAATTTTGTTGAATGCTTATAATCGGATTGAAATAATACATTGTTTAAAAGTACACAAGTATTAAATGGAAGCTTTCAAAATATGGTATTTCATTTTAAAAAGAGAAAACAACTACTAACAATTGTACTATCATAGTGGTTTTAAAAAGTTTTTGAACATATGTAAGCAAAAAGGTTATTTCGTGTACTTGAATAATTGCAAACCACCTTGTGTGGGGTGAGACATGAAAACGTATAATTATATTTCACATTACGCTGAGTTAATTGGTCCCATTTTTTCATTCAAAAATAACTGTTTGATCTTAAATCAACTTGCTGATTTGTATAGCCACGTTTAAAAACCTTGATTACATTTTCACTGAAGAAGACACGTATTTGAAAGCGAATATTCATACATTGTTTTCAAAACAGTTATGAAATTATGACACTGTATATATTTTTCCTATCACAATATTGTACACAGTATCTGTACAATATTTGTGCTCTCTGATGGTATTTGTTTTCATATATCTGGTATTATAACGATTTATCTTTTACATGTATTTCTTTAGTGGTTATATAGGAGCATCATTTATAATGCAATTCTATCAGTAACACAAACACCATTATAACTAAATAAATGCAATATTATATCGTTTAGGATATTTTTTAAGCACTAGCAGAAACGAACTATGTGTTTATATTTGATTACCACTTGTAGATTGAATTACAGCTCCTCTAAAATACAATTTAAGTAATGAACGTTACAAAGACAATGTTTTAACTGCTATTGCAGTTTGGACAAGTACGTACATGTATACTAGTATATCGATCGCAAATTTTTCTACCTCTCTGCGACCAGAAAACAGTGATTTTGTAATCTATCTAATACTTTTTTACGCTTGATCTTTGCAACATTGCAGATAGATGGAGTCCGAGAGATGGTTTTCGTTTGATAAAAGTATCTTGAAACGTCACACAAGTCACAAGGTCAACATGTTGATGCAATTGAATATAGCTCACATCAGTGTATATAAGCTTATGAAGTTTGGTGAAGATGTCTTGAACAGTTTCTTTGTAATTTAGCAAATTAAAAGTTATAATCAAAGGAAAAATCTAGGTCAATATTGTTGATGCAGTTAAAAATACTCTCACCAATATTTATCAGTATACTCATAGTGGGGTATAAAATTTGACAGAAAAAATCTTACTTTTGAATTCGAGGTCATCACTTATTTAGAATAAGTGAGGTATGGTAAAAAAGTGTTGATAGTCATGAAGTTGTCAAGAATAGATTTACTGGTATGTATCAGCAAACCGGTATAAGTTGCTACTAAATTTATTTTTAACTACTCGTCACATGCAAGTTCAGTTGAAAAGTTTGTTACTAGCAGATAAACATCAAGTGGAAATTTCCTCTCCTTCTATTTGTTTTTAAAAGATAATGTTAGAATTCATAGATATAATCTATGACAGTCCAATTTTTTTTTCATAAAACAAGTTTTAAAATTGTGTACTTGAATCATGTAAAATGTTATTTATTTATTTATTATTTAGAATTAAATATATATTATTATAATAAATATATATATTTATTATTTAGAATTAAATATGTATCAAAACAGTTTTAAAATGACAACAGTAAACACAACATATTGTTATATTTAGGAAGGGGACCAATAGGTTGCAGAAAGTAGTTTCATGCCAATGACGTTATGTGGTGTTATTTAACGTTTTATACCGTTAGTTTTTAAGCCTTGTTAAGATTTCATTTTGAGTTTTCGTATCAAAATATTCAAGACTAGTTCTCTCAGGAACTGTCAAAAACAAATTTTTGGAAGGTTTGTCACGAAGGTTCTTTTCATTTGATACGACTCGTGTAAATCTATGAATTTTCAATGTATGTTTACTCATTCCTCCTTTCCATACTACAGCTGCTTTAGACTTTCATATTTTTTCATGTTTTTATGATTTAAATAGAATAAAATCAGAAACCTGTTATGAAATTTATTGAACAAATTTAACATGGATTTAATTAACAAATTTGTAGCATTGGACTCTTGATACAAAACAATCCATATTTTACGGGTCCATTATATCTTAATTGGTCACAAAGGATTGTTCAAGACATACACATCACAACAAAGTATCATTTCATATGCAAAAAAAAAAAAAAAAATTCTGAACCAGCCTGTCAAAGGATATGCCAACAAAGAGATTTCTAGGTGTGTTTGTACAAAATACAGCATAACTGCCAACAAATGGTTATTGATTTCGGCTATAGCGTGTGTTTGGATCCCCTGCTATATAAGTTTAATGAATTTCTTATACGGTTATAATGAATTACGGATATAGCGAAAAATTACAGTCCCTTCTTTTATAACTGAGTTTGATTTCAATCATAAAAAAATTAAATTTATTTACTGTATGACAATCATAAATTAAATATCTGTAAATATCTAACATCTGCTCATTTATAACCTGCAACATGTAACAAAATGATCATAATTATCTGCACCACAGAAAGACACTTATACAAACGTGATAAAAACATGTGAAATTCATTTTTTCACATTTTTTTCTTTGGGAGGGGGAGGGGGTGGTTTGTAAAGATTTCATTGAATCAAACCCTCATCCAAGTTTACAATGTATTCTCTCTTTGTCAATTTCACATCAGATGAATATCAAGTGTGTTAACTGATGACCCCCAGTCAAATTGAATTGATAAAAATATGTCTGCAGTTCCATGCATTTTGATCAATTAAATCTTGGCTATTTTACCACCATAGTTGAAGAGAAAAATATAAATAATCAAAATTTTTGGATGCATAAAAAGTTAACTTTTGACTGAGCAAGTTATGTATATGTAGGTTAAATGATGGAAGAATAGAAAGGAATCATACCCTGTCAAAGGATATGCCAAATCCATGAAATCATTTTAAAATATCAGACCAATTAAATGATCCCCAAAAGAATAAATAAAAAATCTTTTCAAAAAACATTTATAGCATTATACATCAAATGAAGTTAATAAAATGTAATGGTGCCCTAGCATGATATCTGAATTAATATTGATGACTATAATAAATACAGTGAATAAAATACATCAACAAGTGCAAACACACCATTCAGCCCAAAATATAACAAATACAGTGTACTAGTTAACTTTGAGGTATAAAGATTGATTTTTTTTTTCTGTTTAATATATGATGTAAATAGTAATGTACAGTTACATAGTACTTCATGAAAGACTTGGTGATTTGAAAAAAAATTGAAATAAATTTCATCCTTTACAAAACAATTTTTGTCCAAATCGATGTTTTCACTATGTAGCAAGTAAAGGACACACATTTCTGAAACAATTTTTTCAGATAAAAATGTTTATATATTTGTTTGACATTTAATTTTTATATCATTGCAAATTTTGTTATACTTGTATGTCAAATACAAATATGCCAATTGGGATGTGTCTATCACAATAATTACATCTTCACAAAATTATCACATAAAACATACCCAGAAAACACAAACAAAACCACTGTGAAGGGGTTGTGGTTTTTACTAGGAGCTTAGGATTCTATTAATTCACTGTCTAGACATTCCCCTAATGTCAGCCTGTAATTGGCAATCTTGGAAATTCCATGAAAGTGAACAAGGGCAGCCGCCAACACAAACATGTGAAAGATCTGATGACTCTGAAACTGTAATAGGGAAAAAAATTAGAAAAAGTGAACAAAAATATTAGTGTTGCGAATTTACACATAAGAAGTTTTCTTACCCTTTCAAAGAGCTTTATGCAAAAATACCGTATATACTCGCCTATAAGTGGGTCCGCGTACAAGTCGGTTGTATTTTTTGACGTTATTTTCGTGGAATTTGCTATTGACCCGCTTATAAGTCGGTACAACTTTTTTGCTAAAATCTGGTGACAATTGCAAGTAAATCCATTGATATTTTAACCTGGTTTTAATTAATATTTTTCGATATGACACTGATATTTAATCTTAAAATTATCAAACATAAAGGCAATGTCACTTAAAATGCAAATAAAATCATTGAAATATGTATATACTTGTACTTTATATATATAATCTAAGAATACATAAATTATCTTATATAACCTGACAATTTCTTTGATAATCGTAAATGCAAATAGGATACATCATTTTAGCCCCAGGAAAAAATACAATCTCTTTATGACTCGCCTATAAGTCGGACATAGAGTTTTAGATCAATATTTAACTCCCAAAATACCAACTTATAGGTGAGTATATACGGTAATGAAAATTATAGCGAAGTGTAAGCTCTTTTTTTGATTGGTTATTAAAAAAATTTTCGCGTAAAATTATAAGGGTTGATCACCAAGTAATGCTACAATTGCTATGAAATCTGGAAAATATTAAGTTACGCATTAGATTTTATATAGGGCTTGGTATCAGCAGGAATTTCCCACTGCGATATTTTTAACTGCATTGCAATATGTAGTGCAATATTTTCAATAATTAACAGCTACAATGACCTTTAAAATTTTGTTACTCAGTATGAAAGCAGAGCATATTTTACATCTATATATAAATAATTAATATGACTTATACGGTTTACAAAACGCAATTTCAAACCAAAAATCTTCCTATTTGGCAGGATTACTTAATTTTCTGACATCTTAAACATGTTAAATATCATATTAAAATTTTAGAAATACCAAGCCCAAGCTTTATTGTTAGAATATTGGTATTGAAATTTGTATGGCAATATGAAATTTTTGTCAAAAATCTGCATTACACCAGAATACTGATATTATAATGCAGCCCTAATCTTGTACAATTTATGTTAATACGTGTACCCAAATCTATCTATTTTAGTAAAACAACTCAAAAATGATGTATCTCTATTTCTTACCCAAATGTCAAATTTTCCAGGGAAAATCCTCTCAGGGATCCTGAAGGCATATATAAGAGCCCCCACAATATATAGCAGAGCCATCAGACACAGCCAACCTAAGGCGGCGAAGTTAATGGCATGATAAAACCCCTCAATAATAACGTAATGCATGGCTGGCACCACTCCACTAAGGCCTAGGGCAATAAATACACCTGTAAAATATATTTGGAACTTTATACCGCTATTTGAGTTAATTTTTAAATTCATTTAAATAAATAGTTCATTGTAAATTTAAAATTGCATCATGTACATACCAGCTCGAATTCCCCTGAATTCTGGTTCTGCAAATTTATCCCACAGAGAAACCACAATACAGCATGTGCCGAGGACAAATATTAACACAAGGTACGCAATCTTGGGTCCTAAACGGCAGTAAAAACTGTAATATAGCCATGGAACAAAGGAGCCCATGGTGAGCAGAGCTATGCCACAATAGTCCAACCTGAAAATAGACAAGTCCTTCTCATTGCACATCAAGTTTATTCAAGATGGATGAATTTTCAGAATCACATACTTGTTCTTTATAAATAAACTCCATATCTCAAAAACAATACATAATTTACATATGAATATATTGAGAGTTTATACATGTATATGTTTACTATATATAATTATGTTTGAGGTGAAGATTTTTTAATTATGTCTGTAATATAAATTTTAAGTGTCTAGTTCTATAAATTTTGCAGACTATTCACACACAGTATATTTGCAAATGACATGTACGGTGGATAAGCATGTATCGTGTTATCAATGTTTCCAAAATGATTGCAATGTCACTGATTTTAGACTGATGAATAATCATAATTATGGAAATTGAAAAAATAATATTAGCCGAAATTAATTACATGCATTGATATAGAAGTAAATATCCTGTACTAACTTGTTGAAAAGTTTTCCAATGCGCTCACTGTGACAAAACACTGTGTGGAAAATCCAGGAGAATCCTAAACAGAGAATGGCCCCCGCAAAGAATGCCGAGAAAACTGCTTTCTCCTGCCACTGTACCTCTACTGTAGGCCGGGATAGAAAGTAACTGGCTATTCCAATAAAAGCTATCATCCCTAAAAACAATTAAATATGCATGTTAACCTGTAATTTTATATAAAAATTGCATATACAAGGTAGAAGTGATCAACAAATATTTGATATAAAATAATGAAATTAGGAAATCAAGATATCTACAATTTACAAAATGAAAATCAGTCTAATAGCTACAATTTGTATTGTTTTACTGTTTCTATCCTTTAAAATGTATCAATTTTTTATTGATGTCTGCACCTTTAATTCTGAACCTATCTTTGTTTACCTGTCCTAGTTTACAATTACTGGTAGATGATTTATTTGTTTATTTCTGTTGTATTGATTAACCTTACCTAACAGATGTGTCCAAATGTTCCCAGTTTCTGTATGTATTCTAAAAATAGATTTGAAACAGACGAGGAATGAGTTGGTGGGTGGGCGGTGACCAGTGTGAAGGAAGTCATTATCTTGGAGCCAGTCAGGGAGGGAGTGATGGTGCACCACCCTCCACCCCGCTGCCCACACCTTCTTAACGAACTCCTCAGCTTGTTCGGCAGCTTTACACGTCCCCGACAGAAAATCCTCCATTCTGGAGTGATGATGGGACACCTTCAGGTCTTCATCATCCTCATCTTCATTGTTATGTCCCCTTACTCTTCTCTGTAATTGTATCAATTCAAAAAATCTTATAATAAATGAAAAATTAATCATATGACATTTTTGAATTTCAAAATGGATGGAGAAAATGACTTGAAATAATTGAAACATGAACAGAATCAGCTAAAATTTTGATTTGCACTTTAAATTCTGGATGTAAATATCTTTTAAATGAAAAACTTACAAATCTTTTGGAAAATAAGAGTTTGCCTGACTCTGATTTCTGAGATGCAGCTTTCCGAGACAAAGTTAGATCATCTTCACCGTCAGAAAAGTCACTGTCTAGTGTTATATGATTTATATCCTGGCTGTCTATAGACTTAGGTTGTACAATAATCGGACTCTCAGTTATTGAGCACACGTCTCCACTATCAGAATGACTGGTACTGGCCATTTTTGGTAGATATTGTAATGTTAAATAGATAAAATAACTGTAGTTTCTTTGTTTTCAGGATAGGAATTCTTCAGCCTAAAATAAAAAAAAAGTAGTCATTAGATTAACCATAAATGATAATATTTTTTAAATGCTCAGCCTCAAGACATGTGACAGTTTCATAAATTGATATGATACTAACTTGTACTACATAAATTATCTATGCAGGATCGCCTAGATCGCACTACCATATAATTTAACATGTTTAAGTTCAAGAAATATCACATATAAACAGTTGAAGGTATGAAAACGTAATTGTTCATTATTTACTCACCTTTATTTTACAATATGAAAAGCATTTAAACCATTGTGGTATGATAATGAGCATGTCAAAAATTCATATTAATTAGTAATCCTAAACTGTCCTACATAATCAGAAATACCTTTTCCCCAAATGAAAACAGTCATTTTTTTTTCTTTATTTATATCCTTTTGTCTCTCATCATGTGCATGGGTTTAGACTGATATAAAAATAGATTTGTTGTCACTTGTTATGTAAATTACTCCGGATCCTGATATGTGGACTTTGCGCCTAATGTAAACAGCATGTTTATAGAAGCAAAACATAGTGATACATGTACTTGATGTAAATTTTAAAATTAGGTCAGACATAATATAAAAGAAGTAGTTAATATACTAATATGTAATTAAGATACACTGCATGTGACAGGTGAAATAAAATAATTGTACATAAACAATTCATTATTGTTTGATATAATAAACATGATAAAAAGTTGTAAAACTATCTCTGGCACATATAATAATTTTGTTGCAACATAAATATTGAAGAGTATATTGTGAATTATTGTCAGTGAATTTTTTTATCAGATGTTTTATCTTTAAATTAAAATTTCCTTGTTTGTGTTGTTATACTGTTATATTTTAATACCATGTTTACAGTCACTTCTGTTTGTACTATACACGTCATGGGACATGGAGTTCTGTCATTAATATTACATTTTTCTACATGCATTTATATGAATGTTTTGAAACCAATATATAGGCTAAGTATGGTGATCAAAGTAAAATACTTTTGCACTGATACATGAAATCACCATACATATATATTGCTAGAGCCATGTTTGAATTTTATCATACATGATTACTTACAAAAAAAAAAGAAGTCATAATCTGTGATACATCTTTAGTTAACATGACTGTATATATAAATCTCTCATTTGTTGAAAAAAACTGTGCAGAAAGATTTACAAACATGCCTTCATTAAGACTTTATTTGTTGGTTACAATTTGTACAAAGTATCAATGTTTACTCCAAGCCACAGTGTGTTACATATTTTTATTATTTTATTGGCACAATGTAAACAAAGCCATGCACCAGACCTGGGGATCGTTGATAAGGCCCGCCAGAACTTCATTTGCAGACCAGTGTTAATATAAAGTCTAATTTCATCCTTAACTAGCTTTCATTTTTTTTGGAGGGGGAATTTTTGAAGGGGGTCTTTTTATTCAAGTGGTGTTCCAAGTAATGCTTCCAGTGACCATTGTTCAAGATTTGCAACAAGACTGATGCACACAAGAAGCAGAAATTGGAAAACAAGAGGCCTATGGGCCACAACGCTCACCTATTTATTTGGTCCTTTGCCTACATGTATATATTTCAATGAATATTCTTCTTTAGCCCCTTTATGACAGCTGTGAAGAAATCTTTCCTAAAGAGAGGACTAGAAAGAAATATAATGACGGCTATTTTGTAGAGTACTGCAGAAGTTAAATTCTCTTAATCATGCCGCTATCAATGACAAATTCAAGGCTTTGTTTTAGACCTTATAAATCATGTTTTTAAGTGCAAAAAACAGCAGACTCCACTCACTGAATGTAAAGTCAAAAAATCTTAACGGAAGTGTTAACTTGTTTGATGACAGCATGTAAGGTAAGTACAAGTATATTTGTTTAAAGCATCTTTTACATCTGGGGCAGCGCTGCCATCCCCAAATCCCCACGTTTTAAATAATTCCTTAAATGCACCTGGACTTTTTCTCTCTTAGGAAAACAAAATTGCAACACTCATGTTGCTAAGTTTTAACGCTGCTTTACCTCCCGCCCGGATCTAAAATCATATTGTTGCCTGTACTGCATTTTACCCAATTCTAAAATACATTGTACAGATTTCATAAGTTTATCATCATGATCAAAGGAGAAATAAAAGTATTGCTAAAAAATCCAAATGACAATCTGAGACTGTATGTATCAAGAAGAATATACCAGGTAATTTAGTTATTAAGAAAAAATAAACTTGCCTAGATTTTAATGGACAAATGTGTATGTGTGTGTGTATTTCATTAAATTTGCAATGTCCAGAATTTTGATCTGGTAAGGCAAAATAAACATTACGTCCTGGGAGGTAAGAGTCTGAACGTAGCAAATGGCACGTGTGGATTAAGAGTGCAACGATAAACCATTTGAAGGTATACCGTATGGTTTATTTTTCCACAGTTCAATTTACGATACGTGAAACTGATATTCAATCAGTCTGTAATTATCCGAATCGTCCATTTTGGTTCACCGTTTACAATTTCAAAATGGCTTCCGCACAAAACATGAGGTCAATGAAACTGCAGAAACCACAGTTAAACTTGTTTCATATTTAAAGGGTCGATGGAACTTATCACTTTGATAGTGTTAGTGTAATGAGCATTTGATATAAAATGGTTTAGTTTAAAGTATACATGGTATATGATGACAAACATCTGATTTTTTAACCCAATATGTCATGTATTGTGATACATATATTGTGAACTGAATACTGTTGTACGTATCATGTCATGGGGTAGATGTATCGTTTAGGGCTGGGACGATACAACTTTTTCTATATCGATACGTATCACGATATTTCAGCCACGATACTATATGTATCACGATATGTTTCATTGCTTATAAAATCTTTTTTTGCATTGAAATAAACAAATTATTTCTTTGCAAATGAGAATAATTTATTCAAAATAGTTGTTTATATGTTGTAAAACAAAAATATTTTACTCCAGTTGTGTTAATTATTATTTATTTCACTTCTATATTTATACTTAATTTATTTATATTATATATTAAACCCTAAATGTTAAATAAACAAAGAAAAACAGAAGTCAGATTTTTTTGGGCGATATTTCGATATTTTTTCAAATGTATCGATATATGTATCGTCCTCACATATATCACGATATATCGATATCTCGATATATCGTCCCAGCCCTAGTATCGTTGCACCCCTAGTGTGGATATTGACAATCCCAATTTAAAGCTGAATAAGTATATGCTCTCACCCTAACGGTCACACTATCAACATATAATATTCAATGTAAATAAATAGCAGATATGAAGAAATGTTCTCAAACTGGAGGAAAAAGACCCCCCCCCCCTTGTTATTTTGCAGCGGTTCTGACTGCGCGCAATTTCACTGGCATTTAAAGTTTAATGTCAAGTTAATTAAGGTTTCGTTTCTTTTGTCGTTCAATTGGGACTTAATTAAAATTTGATTTTTCAATGTTCTAAAGAAGAAGTGTTCATTGTTTTCTTAAATTCTTGTTTTGTTTTCTTACCAAGTGGCAAGTCAAAGATTTCATTTATTTGATAAATCTGATACACTCCTCTTACAAGTATACATTTACTGAAGTTCTACCTCTAAAGTATTGGATAAAACTAACCTGTGGTCCGATCCATCCTGTGTGATTAGAGTGTATTCAGTCAAGCTTGCGAAATCCACCTCGTATGATCACTCTGGGATTACAGGGAAAATGGCTAATGATTAAAGGAAGTGTGAATGACGTTTTACCCAAATCACAAAATCGATGACGTTTACACCGGAAGCTGAAAAACGCAGGACATTGTTTACATTGGAGATAACCTGCTATGCAGCGAATAATGAAAGAGAATTGTCATTCATTGCTTACTTGCAGAAAACAAGAAACAGTGATGTGAAAAAGCAATTATTGTGGATTAATTAAATTCAAGGTAAATAATGAAAACAAAGTACAAATGCTAGTCGCACACTATATCGGCTAAATTATTGTATCCGTTGTTACATGCTGAAAAATATGCTCAATGGCAATTTAGATTGTCATTATCATACTTAATTAACCGACATAACATTGTATGATATTTTTCATTTATTTTTTCAAAGCAATAAAATATTCCTATGTTTACTAACTTAAATAAAAATTCAAAATTATTGGAGCTTTCATTTAATTAATGCTTTCATTTCATTACATAATATTTATCTCTATCTCTGGTGGTGTAATTGAACATTTGCAAATTATACCTGTTGGTACATGCATGCAATATATATGGATCTCATTTTCATGCTTAAAAGGGAAGGGTAGCAACATGAAAATAACAAATCAAATATGGATAAATATTTAGTACTATAATTCAGTAAGTTCAACTTAATATAAAGCTAAAGTGAAGATATGTATTATTGTTTTGGGATTGTTATTATGATTAACAGTTATATCATCACTAAGACCACACACTCACAAAGTAATATGGATGATAAAGAGAAAATGCAAGGGGAATCTTTACCCTCGGAAGAAGGTCAACACTCAAAAGTTCGAAGTTTGATCCGCCCACATTCTTCTAAAGGCAAAAAATCACCCGGCAGCCCAAGTGCTTCCAGTACCCCAGAGCCGCCCATTGGTCGAATCAGACGTCCATGGTCAGCTCACCCCAAAACCAGAGCGGATGTCTCAAAGAAGAAACTAGTCCGAGAAAATTTAAAGAAATCTCACATGAGACCACCAAACAGACGACAGAAGTCGAAGGAAAATGACCTCCAAAATGAGGAGAAAGATGCAAATGGTACTCAAGTTATTGGACTGGAATGTCCAGCATTGGATTATAAACCACAAAGATACAAAGACCAAATGGTGGACCATGAAGGACAAGATGAAAAGGACTTGTTAGACTATGGAGTCACCACTTTAGTCTCAGGTACATTGGAATTTTCAGTTAATTATGGAAATAGATTTTCATTTTTAAACAGGTCTAAAAGTGTAATAGAATAATTCATACTCTAAAATGAATGGATAGAAAACAAACTAATTTCTATTAAAATCAAAACATATTTGAAATAAATTAAGATTGGAGACAAAGATACAACATTTGAAATATTTTTATTCTTATTGGATAATAAAAATGGTTTTAATTAAGAGTCATCTGGACGATCCCCATCCCCTGACCATAGCTGGGCGATGACTCAGGTCAAGAGAGATATGTCAAAGTCAAAGAAACAGCACCCAACATTTGAATCATGGACCATGATGTCACCTCATGATTCAGAAGAGTACGACACAGACCTGGAGAAAGATATGATCAAAAGTAGGTGCTTATTACAACAGTAGCAAATCAAAGCCAGATAATTTTCTTAAAATGAAATGATTTAGTATAAATGGACAAAATTTAAATATACTTGACTTGTTGTACAATGTCATCATTATTCTGAGTAAGACAGAAAATGAAGAAAAAAATCAAATGTATAAGTTCATAGCCCATGCCAGTATAGATCAAACTGATTTAAGTTTGTTCTTTATCAGTTACTTTTCACTTACTTCCATCAGGGATGATTTTAGCAAGATGACATATGTGATGTTATAGAACATGAAGTAACATAAAGAAATCATTCAAAAGGAAAAGAAAAACTGTGTTTGAAAGGCATAAGGTTGTGATTGTGTGAGCAGGGGTTGGGGTGAGGGGGGTGGTTTATTTACATTTTTGCCATTGTTCCAAATTTCATCTTAATTAATTAATGAAAACCTTACTTAAATACCTAATTCAGTGACTCTCTCTCTCTTCTCAGATTCTATATTTTATAAATATTACACAGAATAAATAATGCTCCCCAAAAATAATGCATTTTTTATGAATTTCTCATACATGTATCAGAAATAGCCTTGACTATTTCTAGTTCCGCACGTACCCTGAGCTCTGTTTTGATGTATCAAAACTTATCTTAATGCAATTCGTTTAAGTTGGTTACTTTCAGTATTAAATCTAAAATGGGTTTAAAATCGATTTAAGTTGGTTACTTTAAGTATTAAATCTAAAATGGGTTTAAAATCGATTTTGGATACAATTTTAAAGTCCTCATATTCTGATATGCTGAAACATCTATGCAGATATGGAAGAAGTGAAACAAAAAATGCAGAAAAAAGAGAAAAAGCCACCTAAAAAAGGAAAGTGTGTGAGATTTGTTCTAACACACGTTGTTGATATCATGCAGAATCTAACAGTGTAATTAAAGCTTGTATCATTCACTCACAAAAACATTTTGCCTAAAATAAAAAAGTAACTATAACCATCTTAATATCACATCAGCCGTGTCACAAATAAACACATACATATATTAATAAAAAAGATTCTGCTCAACTCTACAAATAAACCCAAATTGTTTTAGATTTTTGTCAATTGATGTACAATACCTAACCAATGCAGAAGAATAGAATATGCTTATTTTCTTGCTTTGTAGTCGATGTCGATCTTACTCAGACTGAGAGTTCATTTTCACGATGAAAATATTTCAGCGTAAATGTACCAAATTTTCGTAATCATGAACCCTTACCAATATTACTCGCAATGAAATGCATAATTTATAAAATATTTCTATAATATTGACTTGGCTACTTAGTATAACTATAATTGTAATGAATTTAAAATTTAAATGAAGCCTACAAAACTGCAAAGAATTTGAGCCTGATCTTCAGATGAGTTATTCTCTTTAGAGAAAAGGACAGGCCTTCGTCTAAAACGATAAAAATAGTTAGCTTTGCTGTTCCTTTGCAAAGCGCTCGACACGTTACTAAGTAAAAGCTGCAACATGGTTCTTCGAATGATATATAAATTCGAGACCTCACGTCACAGCAGTCGTTGCTACATTAGAGATCCCTCGGTGCTCAATGGCCCTGAGTCACGAATAACGGACTTAATTTGAAGCTTGTCATTACTAGTCTATGGCGATGTCTCAATATGACTGAACATTTTTCGAATGGGACTTCAATCAATTAATCAATTTATAAATCAATCAATCAACCAATCAGTAAATCGACCAATCGATGTTAATAGGGAAAGTGCGATTTGGAAAACATTTTCTATAATAAAGTTCTCTTTTAAAAAGCGGCTAGTTTATGTATGGAATATCCATATCAAAAAGACAAAATGGATGTCTGAATTACACATATTTCTTTCCAACTTAACACAATTATTGAAACAATACATTCCAAATCATGTACTGTCTATGTTGTGTTACTTTAACATAATATTAAAAAAGATCATGTTTGCTTTCTTATCACATTTTATTTATACATGAATAATCATGAGAATGGTATTAATTAATATTAATAGCTCAGAAACTATATATTTATCATCTCTTAAATTGTTTTCGATCAAATCGTAGGAAAACTTAAATCATAAAAGCTTGTTTTTTAAACGATGTTGACTTTGAATTTTACATTTTATATAAATCATCTTTTAAAGTTGATGCACTACTGAGATTAAACATCATCACATCAGCTAATTGCAACTGCACGAGATATGATAATACAAAACGAACACCGAACATGAAGCGAAAATAAATAATACATTGTATATATAATTCATCTCATTTACAGAAATAGAAAAACCAATAGACCCCACAGGGAAAACAACTTACCTAGATCAATGTCAAAGAGACGGTAGGAATTTAATTTTAAAAAAAATACAGTTATTATCTTTATGGGGTTAATTTTTGCTTGTATAAGAAATCTACATTTAATAAATGTCTATATAGTAAAAGGATTCGTAAATGCAGCATGTTGTTAAATTATCTGTCAGATTGATTCTGGAAATGTGTGAATTTTCTGAAATTATCAATACTATTGTCGTCTATTTTGAAATTCCTTTTATTTAGTGTGTTTATAATGTTTTCATTTAAAGGTTTGATTCCCGTCTCATATCTTTCTCGTCATCTTGGCGACAGAAATCTACGCATGCGCCATCACTATCTAGGAGGGACTGCTACAAAACCAGTAGCAAGAGCCCTCGAGGTATAAACTTTTTTGCTCTCTTAATTTGTATTTGTTGAAGTGCCGTAAAAATCTTTTTCTTTTATGTCTTTATTTTCTATAATTAAAAATGCATGAACTTTTTTGTCATTAAATTTTGCATATTAAGCTTTTGAGAAAAAATGTTTTTGTATATTTCTTTCCCTCGAGATTTCTTTTTCGTTATATTACTTCTCAAAATACAAAAGCCCTTTAAAGTTTTAAATGAATCTCTGTATAAATGCTTCTTAATTTAATACAAGTGGAAAATTCATGTATTTAGTTTTGAGAAGTTTTCATTACTTTTAAGTTCAACACAGTGACAGAGAATCTAGACCTCGGGGACAATTACTTGGAGGGAGACGGCGCAGTTTACCTCTGTCGAATGTTAAAGGATAATATGTTTATTGTGTCGCTGGTGTGTATTGTATATCCTCTTTATTTATCAATATTTTAATTATGTCTTATTATGAGATATTAAAGCAAGAAGAGGGAAAATAACATTAGAGAATTCGTTGAACATAGGTTGTACAAACATTCAAACATGTTTCTTTATTGTAGGACATTTCTAATAATTTTATCCAATCAAAAGGAGCAAAAGCTGTGGCGAGCATGTTGGACGTCAACACAACGTTAAAAACTCTCTCATTATCTGGTGAATGTTTTATATTTTGTAGAAATTTAATGTTATTTCATTCCGTATCAAACAAACATCACCTTTCTTAACAATGCAGTTGCAATACTGCTTATAATAAAGACCCCCACCCCCCAAATTAGACATGTAAAAGGGGTACTTGCAGCATTATCCGGTCAACGGTAATTAAACAAAATAACTTGGAATATTCCTTTAAAAAATTTACTATATAAAGTCAAAACAACCTTGTAAATTATTTGGACATTTTTTGAACGTCTCTCACCTTTAGGTAACCAGCTGTGTGACAGGGACGCGGGGTATTTTACCGAGGCTCTGAAGAGCAACACCTCTCTGACGTCACTGGACCTCAGCAACAACGAGTTCGGGGAAGCAGGCGGGGTGTATATTGCCCAAGCACTGGTATGTCGTGTGTTTAAAAATAAAATAAAAATTGTTAACATGATTATTTCGATATATATTGTGTGCATAGGCGTCGGAACCGGAGGGGCGGGCTAGCCCCCCCCCCCCCCCCCACTTTTTGCAAAGATAGACATAATGTAGGCATTGAAAATTGGGGCTAACCTTCTTTTGTTGGTTTAGCCCCCCCCCTTTCAAATAGCCCCCAAATTCTCATTTGCTTCCGACGCCTATGGTGTGCATATGACACGTCCATATATTTATTAAAAGAGACATTGAGATTGAAATGATCTACGCGAAAAGGCGAAGGAAAAATATAATAGTAGAATTCTGCACGTAACATCAGAATACTAACTGGGATCTGTGATTATGGATTAATAAGAAAAAAAAGCACATTTGTGAATTTGTACAAACTGTGTGCAGAGCAAGCACGAATCTCTAAAAACCACAGGTGGTATCAGGTGCCATCGAGATGTATCCCCTGTCAATTGGTCACACCCGTGGTGTGCTCCTTGTCTTTGTTTTGTAAATGGGGAGATTCGTTGTAAATTCTGTATGAAAATAATGGCTAACACTTTGTACAAACGACTTCAGTCATCATTTTACCTCATGAAAAATTGTTCTGGAAAACTAGATCATGGTACATTTTTGGTATTAACAATAAAATTTGCGAAATGTTGCTTCAATCTAGGATTTAATATCCTGTTTCATTTCGAATCAACCACATCAGAAGGTAATATTGGTTTACTGGGCAGTGTTAAATAAAGAGAGTTGAAGGTAAAAGGGTAAAATTAAGATAGATGGCCGGGTTTGCTGACGTCACGGATTTGACGTAAAACACTTACCGCGTTCAGATTAGCAAGCAAAAAATATCTTCTGCAGTACTGTATGCAGTTAAAAGTGAAATATATCTATATTAAAGGTTGTTTGGTGTATTTAAATATTTTTTTGTACGTAATTGAGAATAAATGATGTTTTATTCAAGGTTGTCTTTTACATTATAAGTAGTTTTTAACGCTGTGTATTTTTTAATCAAAATATGAATAAAAAATGAAAACTGATAAAACGTCAACCATATTGAAACACAAAAATATCCAGCCTTCTATTCTATCCTAGTTCAAGATGACTTACATACTTTGTCTTACAAATATTCTTCAACTATTGAACCAAAGAGTATTTGATTTTCACTACTGTTAGGATATTCATGGGAAGTATCAAAGTGGCTCACAAAATTTTGGAATCCAAGATACTGTAATAGGTGTTGTAGAGTAGGATATCCCCCCAAAGCCAGCTTTCCCTGGCAATTGTACTATAAAGTGGAATTTCCCTTGGGTGGAAAACTCACACCAGAGCCAGATGTCCCCCCTCTTTCTATCTCAGAGTAGGATTTTCCCCCTTAAAGCTTAGGTCAATATAAACCACAGCCGCAATATATTTTTGTTAAAAAAAGATAAACGGCAAACTGATTTTGAAGTGGTAAATGAGTGTTTTTCGACTCCTGTAGTAAATTTTTTAAGCATATATTTCAAATCATGGACTTTCAACCCAAATATTTTTTTTTTCAAAAGAAATGTAAAACTCTTCAGATTCGATGTCTTAACACCCTAATAGTATAGCGATATACTTGTATACTAGTATGTCAAAACATTTTTATTGTGCAGTCTAACAAGGCTATCTTAAATTGATGGATTCATTTTTTTTCTCAGAAGAAAATCATTTATTTTTGTATACCTTTTACTACTTGTATGTTGCTTGATTCCAATCAGCGCAAGAATTACTATGATGTTCAAATGTCCACCTTTCTGTAATCAGTCCTTCATTTTTTGCCACCTAAAATTCCATTATTGAACTTTTAATGAAAAATTAAAATTTGTGCGTTTAAACTTGTTCATGTTACTTATTTAAACAGGACTTACATGTAAATTGTTATTTTCAATTGCATGTATTTGATAACATTTATTTGCATCATCTGTCATTAAAGCAAAATAATGTTCTTGTTTTGTAGCCTTTGTTCGAGAAAGTATCAGTATGGAATGAAAACGGTAGTTTTTATTAAATTTTTTTCTGATCACATTTTGTCCGGCGTCCGTCTGTCCGTCTAGTCTGTCTGTCCGTCTGTCTGTCTGTAATTTTCACATTTTCGATTATCAATTTCAACCAAACTCACAAAGTATCAAGGGGATTCAATTTGTTCAAATGAAGGGCCATGCCCTTATTCAAGGGGAGATAATTGGGAATTAATGAAAATTTAGTGGTACATTTTAAAATTCTTCTTCTCATTGCCAGGAAAGATTTATGGGGATTTAGTGTAAATTCAAGTTTGTTCTCATGGGTTGGCCAACCAAAGTTTTACATAGAAATATATAGAAATAAATCTTTAAGAATGACAAAGCCATTTCATCATATTTATATGCTAGTGTAGATAAATCATGACCCCCCGGGTAAGGGCTTGTTTTACATAGAAATATATAGGAAAATTCTTAAAAAATCTCAATTAAGGGAAACATACTCAGGTAGTATAGATTCAATTTTGTTCAAATCATAACCCCTGGGGGTAGCTGGCAAAGTAACATTATATAGGAAAATTCTTTAAAAATTTTTTTAAAGCCATAATTCATGATTTATATGGAGATATTTTTCAAATTTGAATTTAGAAAGAATACACTTTAATCAAATAATTTAATGGAAGCAGTAATAATGTTATGCAGCCAATTCCTTAAAGAAATTCTTTATACATTTTCTAAAAAATAGCAAATCCATGATTGCATGTATTTAAACTTTACAATAAAAAGATTAATGACAGCAGGGCCTCTTGTTAAATTTTTCTTTAATTCATAATTATCATCATAACATTAATTTTGATGAATGGCTAACATTTTATTTTGTGCTTGGGTTTAGTTATGAAATAAATCTTTAAAGCTTTCTTGCTATCAATAATCATATCTTGTTAAGTAAATCAATTAAGGGAAACACATTCAAGCATTAGCTGCATAACATTATTATTTATTTTTTTAAATCATGATCAAGGAGATATTTTTCTTGAATTTAGAAAGAAACACTAATCAAATAATTTAAACAGTAATAATGTTATGCAGCCAATTCCTTAAAGAACTATACAGCTGTATATGATTAATGACAGCAGGACAGCTACTAGAATTAAGATTTTTTCATAGCTGAACCCCAGCGTAAAATAAAATTTTAGATTTTTATCAGAATTTATTGTAATGATAATTATAAATAAATTATCGAATAAGAACTTTTTTCCATTTTATACTGATACTTTCTCGACCAAACGTTACAAAACAAGAATATTTCTCTGTTTTAAGGACGGATGATGCGAACAAATTTTACATGATATATCTTGAAAATATCAAGTTACATGTAAATTCTGTTTAAATAAGTAAAATGAACAAGTTTAACCGCACAAATTTTAATTTTTCATTAAAGCTGTTCAATAATGGGATTTAAGGTGACAAAAACTGTATAGATTGATAAGGACTGGTTACACAGAGGTGGACATTTGAACATCATAACAATTCTTGTGCTCATTGGATTCAAGCAACATACAAGTAGTAAAAGATATACAAAAATAACTTACTTTCTTTTGGGGGAAAATGAATCCATTAACTTTAGATAGTCTTGTTAAACTGCACATTAAAAATGTGTGACATATACAAGTATACTGCTATGCAATTAGAGGTGTTATTAGACATCGAATCTGAGTTTTACATTCTTTTGAAAAATAAGTATTTGCATGGGTCAAATTAAGTCCATGATTTGAAATATATGCTTAGAAAATTCTAACTACTTAAGTCGAAAAACACTTATTTACCAGTTCAAAATTTGATCTTTTTTCACAAAAAAAATTGGAGCTTTTGTTTATATTGACCCTATGACAAGGGGGTAAGTCTCTCTGATGAACAAAGGGGGGGGGGGGGATTTGGCTCAGATGTGAGATTTCCTCTCGGCTGAAAATCCTACTCTAGAGTACGATTTCCGAGGGCAAAGCTGACTATGGAGGAAATCCTACTCTACAACACTGGTATTTTTTCCTCAAACCTCGAAAATTTGACACCACAAAAATGACACACTGATCTTACTATGGATTTTTTCGTTAACTCCGTTATGACACAGAGCACACAAAGGGGAAGGATGTATTGCTGATGTACAGGGGATACTTACTCCTCCATTACACTATATGTATTGCTTAAAGATACTTAGGACAATAATAACTTCTTCTTGTCATCTTCATTTGAAATTTATTGCATTTGAAAGAGTTTGCTCTGAATCCAGTAATTTAACGCCATGTCTTTATATATGAAGGTCAGCAATGAAAGCATTACAGACCTAGATCTCAGCTGGAACTCAATACGCAACAGAGGAGCTGAGGCCATCGGTAAAGCTCTCGCTGTAAGTATACCCTGGTCACTCTGTGTAGATATCACAACAAAGGAGCAGAGGCCATCGGTAAAGCTCTGGCTGTAAGTATACCCTCGTCAGTCTGTATAACTATAGATCACTGTAAGTGATCTGGCTGACAGATGACTGTATACAACTCTCAAGTGAAAAAAACTACTTGCCAATTTAAAGAATTATGCTTTTTAGCTCACCTGAGCCAAAGGCTCGAGTGAGCTTTTCTGGTAGATTTTGTCCGGCGTCTGTCTAGCTGTCCGTCTGTCCGTCTGTCTGTAAACTTTTCACATTTTCGACTTCTTCTCAAGAACCGCTGGACCAATTTCTTGCCACAAAGTATCATTGGGTGAAGAGGATTCAAGTTTGTTCAAATGAAGGGCCACGCCCCATCCCAAGGGGAGATAATTGAAAATTACTGAAAATTAAAGGCATCTTTCAAAAAAATCTTCTTCTCAAGAACTACTGGGCCAAGAAAGATGAAACTTATGTGAAAGCATCCTCAGGTAATGTAGATTCAAGTTTGTTCAAATCATGACCCCCGGGGGTAGGGCGGGGCCACAATGAACGATCAATTTTTTACATATGAATATATAGGAAAAATATATAAAAATCTCGATTGGTCTTGCTTATATGGTAGCATCCCCAGGTAGTTTAGATAAAGATTTGTTAAAATCATTACCCCCAGGATTGGGTGGGACCACAAAAATACATAATAACTTATTGGGGAAAAAAGCCAAAGTTAGTCAAAAAAAATACGTAAGCACCCTAAGTTAGTGTAGATTCAAGTATGCATAGATTCAAGTTTATTCAAATTATCCCCCCTCTTTTAGGATCGGGACCACTTAGGCATTTACTGAATTGATTTTTCCTAGCCACAGTGCTCATGTGAGCGATGTGGCCCATGGGTCTCTTGTTTGGTTATTTGATTGAAGTACGGTACTGTAATGTATCTTTTTTTCTTGGCCTGAAATGGTCCCAAAACTAACACTACTTTGAAATACTGTGTATAAATTATCGTTAATAAGCTCAATTACAACAGTATGTACAATACACATGTATTTTATCTCTGCCTCCTATAGTGATATATGAAGGGGCGTGGAAAGTATTATCGCATATGTGATATGGGATATATCACCACAGAGAGATCAAAGAAAATCACCGCAGATATGCGACAAAAGTTGCTTACATCATAGATGCCTCGAACTATTGGTTATATCGTTTTCATCTATACATATTTTTTATTTGTACAACAATTTCTTTTTTAGCATTCTATGTCCTGCAAACGATTTAGTCGGTTAATATTGAATGAATGCTCCCAGGTTTTGTTTTCTGATGAAGTCTTGCTACAAGACTTAGTACAAAGTCAAACATCTCCATCATATTATATAATTGTTTTTCCCCATTATTTAGAACAACCAGGTTTTGGAAGTATTAGATGTGTCGTGGAATGGATTTGGATTGCCTGGATGTCGGGGTTTACAGCTTGGCCTTCGTGTTAACTCCAAACTACGCGTTCTTGATATCAGGTGTTTATACATGCTTTAATTATGTTGTACTAAGACATGAAATCCAAACTTCTTGACATCATCAACGTTCTTAAGTAAACAAATAGTTAATTCAAAAATAAATTGTCAGGAGAAAAGAAAAGAAGTATTCTTTCTTTTTTTTAGCAACAATAGAATCAACAAAAACTGTGCAAAGGAATTATCTTTAGGTCTGAGCAAGAACTTCGGCTTAGAAACACTGTTGGTGAGTTAAAGAAAACATTTTATAACAATTAAGTGCTTTCCTCATTATTACCATGACATTTTGACACACTAACTTGGAAGGAAATTGAAAGAGCTGCCCATGAAAGTGAAAATGCATATTTATTTTACCTTTTTAAATTCAAAAACTTTGAAATTCAAATATTTGCGTCAGTTAACAACAATTTACTCCTAAGTTATGTTTTTCAAAATAAGATGACAGGAAATTGAAAATGAAATACTAGTAATTTTTCTTTCACAGATGAACTTGAATGCATTGACAGATGAAGGTATAGAAATTATATTGAAAGCTGTGAATCAGAGCCAAACTCTTTCTTATATCTCACTACAGGTAAATAGCTACCTTGCTTATATACCCTTTGGTTTATATCCATTAAAAACTACATACCATATTAAATTCCCTATCTTTATAATAATATTGCATCGCTTTAAAGTTTTTTAAAGACATTGTATTCCTTGCTTTGATATAAAACCTCTAATACATGTTTAACATTTATCACTATTTATTCTTAAATACCTTTCAAAATATACTTGATTGTTTGTATTATCTTGTTACTTTTTGCTCACGAAAATTTCACCCATGAACTAACCACAGACACACTGGATTATGTTTGTCTCAGAGTAGGAAACCTCATGAGGCACTTGGCACGAAAACCTCTATGTTCAAATTAAGTCAAAGGTATTGTTGCACATTGCATGTTGCATGTAAGATTATAAGTGCACCAAAAAGGGATTTTATATTGTATATACGGATTCTTATTTTATAAACTCGTTTTAAAAGTTTAAAAAGAAACAAGTATTGGAATAAATTTCAGATGTAAAGCAACCCATTTAACTAAAAAAGCATTAATTTTACAAATGAAATGAATTTACAATAAACTGTCAAGATTAAGGGTTCTGTTGAAAATTAAACTTCGAAGTACATTTTGAGAAGAGTTTTTCTGTTTTTTTGCCCCCTTTTTTAAAATTCTGTATAGTTCAGTCCTTTATTCTTTGTGGAAAATGCAAAAAAAAAAAAAAAAAAGATTATTACATACCTCGTTCAACTTCAATTTTTACTAAACCTCATCACACACACTAGTAATTTGAGGAACAGTTTACATATTCAGATGCACAAAAGCGATATTTAATACAGTAATTTTTTTAGCTTAATAATAAGAATTTCCCTATTTAATTTTAAGGAAAGTTAAAACAATTAAGTTGTTAAAGTCTTCATTGATAACTTTCAGAACTGTGGGGTAAGTATTTTGTTGACGTTTGAATAAAAAAGTGGATCCTACTCTTAGAGTTTGTTTACAAGCTCTTATGTGAAACAGAAATGAGTCTTCTCTCTTTTACGTAATCAGTTGTGTCTGATTTTTATAAGCAAAACCTTTACAAAACTTGAATTCTTTAGAAATCAGATTATCTTCTAGTTTGTTTTCATCCTTTTAAAAACTCTATTTCGGTTAGTTTACCGGTTCTTAATTTTTATGCACTACACGGATTTACAAGTAAATGGAATATTTCTAGCTGGGTATATCATCTAAATTATTATCATTTAGCTAATGCTGAGGTAAACTTTTTCACTAAAAATGTACTATACATATATATACATGTATATTTCATGACTTTCTTTTCTTGTTCTTTATAATGACGTCATGATTGAAATTCGACTTGGGTAGAAATTAATGTTTTTTTAAGTGAATAATTTGAAGTCATTTGAAAAAAAAATTCCAATTTTAATTATTAAAAAGAAAGTATTTTGAAGAAGGGACCAAGAACGATTAGTTTTACGGGAGATTGTGGAAACCTGGGTTGGATTTCTTCCCAAACCACAGACACTTGTTTCTGATAATATTATATTTTCAGTGATAAATATGAAAACATATCATGGATTAAGAATTTATTTTGTCTGTGCCTTATTTTCCTTAATAATCGAAAGTTATATAGCATCATTAAAAGGCTTTATTTCTTATTTACTTATTAAATAAATATTTAATAAATCATTTTGGATGATGTACTCAGCCAGTTATATTATAACTAATTTGAACCCTCCTTTATATTAAATGTTTTACCTTTCCTGCATGCTCAATTTAAACTTCTCAAACCTTGATCTTTTCCAGTATTTTGTATACTTTTATTTTATTGATATAAAAAGTAGCAATTTCAGGTATAACAAAATGAGAAAAATCCCTATCACCTTATTAGTACGGATTTAACATGTTTAAAAGTAGTTGAGAGACCTTGAAGAAAATGTGACATTGTTTAATCATGTTTAATTAGGAGCTGGATCCATTTTCATAGAATAAGAATCAAATTGGTTTTATGCAGTGATGATATCATTGACTCACTCCTAGATTTCCATTGTTTCGGTGTGCACATAACTGGGTCTAGCTTAACAAAAGTAAAAAAAACCTAAATTATTCAATACTAATAAATAAGGGAACGGTACCATATAGAATAGTAAGAATACAATAGCGATGTGCATGGAAATCATCTTGCAAGTCTATCTATAGCGATGTATGTGTACAAACTTTTATTGCAAGATAGAATTTTTTGTTGGCGTCAGTGTTTTTGATGTTTTTGTTCTGGATGTGATGTGTATTTTATCATTATCAAATTAGGCCAACCTTAAAGATGTTTGTGTTCTATTTCCAGTATTTACAATCATATTGAAACAAAGTTTTAATTTGTTATGTAAGGTATTTTTATACATGAAGATTGATTGACACCGTGTGTTTATGCATGTCTGTTTAAGATAATAGAAAATCAGGTAACGGTATCTATTAAATGTATCTTTATAATATTCTACTTTAGTAGACTTTGTTTAGAATGTTATTTATTTTTTCTTTTCAAATCCATAGACAAAAAATAGATCTAAAACATTAACTCAATTTCTAAGGCGTTTCTGACAATTAGGGTTTTGGATTTTTTTAAAAGAAATATACTCGAAAGATACATCGAGCATGTTGAGGAAAATTATGGTCTATTATACAAATTAAGTGATGTTAGTTATATTCCTTATAATATTCATTAATTTTTCTATGTTCATTTCTGTCTTTCATTAAATTTCTACAGGAGATGAACATTAACATGAACAATTACAAAAAAATCCAACAAATGGAAAATGAAAACGATATGACAATACTTCATGGAGGTTTAGGGGGCGCCCAGCGATATACGGTATTTCAAACAAATAATTTTGACGAGGAACGGTCTCTTTGTGATAGTTTTAATTTGCTTTTACTATTTTTGATTCTAATGACTGTGAATAAAGTATTGTTTATTTTAGATGGTTTTCAGTATTGGTGATATATTTTCTCAAATATTTTTCTTAAAGGTTAAGCCATTTTTTGTATGTAGTGACTGTATTTTAGATATTTTCCATTTCATATTTTTTTAATTTTAATACTTTTTCCCTGAATGGTGTTTTAGCCCCAAACAAGCGTTTTAAAGGTACTTTCTAAGTTCTTGAAAGAGCATAGGATAGACCTGGAGGGGGCGTTACGGCAACAGGACAAGGACCACAGTGGGACGTTACAACAGGAGGAAATCAAGTTAGCCTTCAAAGAGGCGGGACTAAGGCTTACAAATGTAAGCTATCTCATAGTTAGCCTACAAAGAGGCGGGGCTTAGGCTTACAAATGTAGGTTATCTCATAGTAAGCATTCAAAGAGGCGGGGCACAGACTTTGAAATGAAGGTTATCCTCTTATAGTTAGCATTCAAAGAGGCGGGATTAGGCTTACAAATATTAGTTATCTCATAGTAAGCATTCAAAGAGGTGGGGCTCAGGCTTACAAATGTATGTTTTCAAACTTATAGTTAAAGATTTTAGGCCCAAGTTCCTGATTGTTAATTTTTATAGATGCACTTGCTAGCAGTAAACATTTAATTCATACAGCCTCTATGTGTATAGAGACGTTAGAAAAAAGTTTAAAGAATAGTAATCTTTTTATAATCGTTCCAGAAACCTGCTAAGCTTTATCATGAACAAATCGAATCAAAGCTTTTAACTTTAGAGAAATCTAATATTATGTACATTAGTTATATTATATCTATGTTGTCAAATTTAAATCAGACAATATTGAAACCGTTCTTAATGTTTTGATAGTCAACTTTTTGACATGTATTTCATAGCGACAAATGGATGTCTTGGTGGAGGAAATCGATGTTACACATTCTGGATCCATAAAATGGGAGTAAGTTCATAGTTTTTTTTACTAAACACCTAACGATGTAAAAAATAATTAGAAATACACATTTATAAAAAATGAGTATGTCATGTATTTTTTCCTGTTCATCAGAGACATACTAAATGGTAGAGTGCTAATGGAATATAATAGACGTAAGTCTTCAGTGGCTTACAAACTGGCAGAAGTGGACCAGGAGACTTTATTCAGCAACATGAAGAAAAGACAACTCACAGTTATATAACGAATTCATCCCAATTCAAAAAGAAAAAACATGCCAGTACGCCTAATTAATATTGCTATGCAATGCGGTAGTTTTTTATTCACTGATTTTTCTTAAGTCATTGGGAATGTCTTTTGAGAAAGGGAATGTAATTTCTTCACTTTTCTCTTTCACAATTTGTGATTGTTTTGTTGCGCTTATTTTAAATGTACTGATATTGAAACTTAATTGTCATGAAATATCTAATAATAACTGCATTTTTTACTTAATATTTAAATATATTGGCCATTTTATATGTAGAAATGTAGAATATTTAACTTTCCTGTTCTAAGATTTTTGTAATCATTCCTTACAAAACTTAAGTATTGCTTAAAATTGATACCATTAATTGCAAAAATAATAGTGAGTTCACAGTTGGTATTAAATAACTTGATCTGGTTTGTGATACCTTGGTATGAAGTAATAGTGTTATTTATATATATTCCCTATGTCTGTGATGAATTTTTTTCGCTGGTTGAAGTCTTTACTTCCAGTCATTCTACCTCATTGTATTAAATAATATAGTATTTAATGGATTAATTTAATTTTATGCGGTTTATATTTTAAAACTAATAGATTCTTTATATTCTGACATTTTAATATTCTGATCACATGTATTCCATAGATATGAGGTTGTCTTCCAGTGAATGGGTAATTGTGTATTGATTATAGTATGTCTTGCCAGAAATTCTGCATCAGTATTGAACGCATACCAATCATTTTCACAGTTTAAGTACATGTATAGACATTTACTTATGTTATATTTTAAGAACATAATAGTAATGATATATATTAATGTTTTAAGAGTACTAATTGCATTTTAATTACAAATAGATTTATTTATTTATTTATCATTTCAAATAAATGCATTTATACATTCACAATTATGCTTTATTTTTAATCATAAATTGCAATAGGAAATTTAATGCCTTGTGAATGTTCCATGTAAGGATTAACATAAGCAAATAGTAAGCCAATGGTGTAAAAGATTACAATCAATCCCATGGATTTTTGTTAGAAAGCCTATTTTTGTATTCGTATGAATCAGAATTTCTTCAAAATCTCATACTTCAGAACAACACTTGCTGTGGCATTCAAACCGACATTACTATTATATAATAGATATATCTAATCAATGACATTTGTAGACAGTTGTTTCTTCTATTCATTTGTCGACTCGATATATTCCAGTGAGCTTGAACTTGATGACACAGAGTCTGCCAAACCCGTTTTCGATCACTGTTTGTTATCGTCAACTTTTCTTTCTTTGAGTACTAGTACCTTGTGCTTTGACTCAGTTCTGCATGAGTATGACAGACTTTAGTATTGGAAGCAACTCGTTTGGTGTGTTTATGCGACAGACACTGGCAAATGTAAAATAACCATCGCAAGACAACATCCATTCAGAAAACGGTCTACAGAATTACAAAGTTCCCGAGACCTCCTCCATGAAGAATTTAAAGTAGTTCGTATTACAACTTAGGAAAAAAGAACCGTCTTCCAGCATACAAATACGTAAAGGCAACCATATGCATACTTTCATTCATAACATTCCTGGCGGAATAATGCATTCTGATTAATATTTTTATGTCCCGCCATGAATATGGCCGGGGCATATGGTGTTTGCCATGTCCGTCTTCCGTCCTTCTGTCCTTCCGTCACACTTTGCGTTCAGCTCAGTTGTAAGAAAACTATCCAAGATGTTTTCATCAAACTTCATAGGCTGATAGATATTGATGAGAGCTATGCAACTGCATCAACATATTTTGACCTTGACCTTTTCTTTGACCTTGACCTCACTTTTCTTATATGAGTGTTTAGCTCAGTTTTAAAGATACCATTCAAGATAGTGTTATCTAACTTCAAAAGCTGATACATACTGAAGAGTGCTTTTCAACTGCATCAACTTTTTTTTGACCTTGACCTTTTCTTTGACCTTGACCTCACTTTTCTTAAGTGAGTGTTTAGCTGAGTTTTAAAGATACCATTCAAGATAGTGTTATCAAACTTCATGTGCTGATACAAAGTGACGAGAGCTGTTCAACTGCATCAACATTTTTGATCTTGACCTTTCCTTTGACCTTGACCTCTTTTTTCTTAAATTAGTGTTTAGCTCAGGTTTAAAGATACCATAGAAAATATTTTTATCAAACTTCATATGCTGATACATACTGATGAGAGCTACATGTATTCGCATCACCATTTATTAACTTGACCTTTCCTTTGACCTTGATTTCACTTTTCTTAAGTTAATGTTAAGCTCAGTTTAAAAAAAAAACATCCAAGATATTTTTTATCAAACATCATATGCTGATACATACTGATGAGAGCTATTCAACTGCATCAGCATTTTTTTTACCTTGACCTTTACATTGACCTTGATTTCACTTTTCTTAAATTAGTGTTTAGCTCAGTTTTACAGATACCATTCAAGATATTTTCATCAAACTTCATTATCATTATGTTGATACATACTGATGAGAGCTATTCAACTGCATCAGCATTTTTTTTACCTTGACCTTTACTTTGACCTTGATTTCACTTTTCTTTAATTAGTGTTTAGCTCAGTTTTACAGATATCATTCAAGATATTTTTATCAAACTTCATTATTATTATGTTGATAGACACTGATGAGAGCTATTCAACTGCATCAACATTTGACCTTGACTTTTCCTTTGACCTTGACCTCACTTTCTTATATTAGTGTTAAACTTCATTTGTTGATACATACTGATGTAAGCAATTCAACTGCATCACTATTCAAGATATTCTGAAATTTCATAGTTTTACACAAATTCAAATTTTCATGTTGCATTTAGTGATATCGGCGGGGCATCCATGTCCTATGGACATATTTCTAGTCTCTATTCGTCTTTGTGTAGGGATCTGTTAATGATCAATCGCCCCTGAATTTAGAGTTGCAACAAACCTCATTGATTTTTTATTCACATGCACATGTGACCAATAGAGCATCGAATTTCAGATTTAATTTCTAACACGATATTTATCTATTAGTAATTCAATCTGTTATATATATGGATGATGTTTACTGTATATATAAGAAGTATATGTAGATTTTTTCCTCAAAGTATCACTTAAAATGTCACGTTGGACTTCTGTATTGTTGATCATACATTTTGCGTTCTTTGATTTGTCGCAATGTGACTATCCGTGCAAGAAGGATATCAAGAGCTATACAATATGTATGCAGTCCGCTAAAGATATTCGGAATTCTTGTGGAATTCACCTTGGAGAATACGAGGATTGCACACAAAAGAAACTTTCTTCGCTAGATAAAATTGTGAAAGATTTGAAAGAAGACGTACAAAAATTATCCACAGGTACATGCATTTTCGTAAAATTGTAAATTTAACAATTTTAGAATTTTAGAACTATACTGGAATTAAGAATCGCTGATAATTTCTGTGGGTTTTTTTTCTAACCTAGGTAATTACAAGACATCAACGCACGTTTCCTTCATGGCATTTTTCTGAAGTCAGGTGTAAAGTTAAATTACGGAGATACACTTGTATTCGATGGCGTTCGAATCAACCGAGGGAAAGGTTACAATGGAAAAACAGGTATATTTACCGCCCCGATATCTGGAACCTACTTTTTGAGTATGAACATTGCTTTGCCAACACCTAATCGAGTCAAAGTTCAGGATTCCCTAAGATTATATATACACAAAAACAATAAACGCGTTGGATATTTATTCATTGAAACTGAAGGACTGTGGACCAAAAGATCCGGAAACATTCTGTTGTGAGATGAAGTAAAAATCAAGGTACAAAACTGGCATCGTGGCTTCGCGTACATTGCAGGAAATTTCCATTCCAATTTCAACGGATTCCTTATACATTAAGACAGTACCTCGAAGTCTATTTGTGGTCACAGTCACGTTACAACCTAATATTTACTGAATATTATTTTTATTATATATTCCAAGCTCTCTGATTGGCTCTAACTTGATCACATGATTAAGTATATAACAGCATATAGATTTGAGTTAATTAAAATTCATAGAGTCTGAAATGCATATTGATTTGATGTTTCTTAAAATGGAGATAATTTTCTGTAACAAAAATAATCGCAATTACAATGTATAGCTAATTTATACAGTATATGACTTAATGTTTCTGAAAAAAAATATAAACTTCAACTTGTATTTATATTTGTAATGTTCTGTAATTGATAAGTAAACATAAACAACGCCTTGAATTAGGATTTATACTTTATATTAAAACATATTGAATATGTATGTCAAAAATTGATACAAAACATAATCAAATGAATGTAGTATTTTAAATTAGTGAATCCTCCAAATTACTGTATCAATATTACATAAAGGAAACACAATTACATTAAACAGCGTACATGTAGTTTATTTTGATTTAGAGTCTCTAAGTGTATTAGAGAGAAAACTTGTGTCTTGTTCCGATTATTTTCAAACTGTCTTTTCAATCTCTCTAAAAAATAATATAACAAATGTAGGTCGTCATGTTGCAGATTTTATTTGAAAAATAAATTATGTCAGAAAGGACAGTAGCCCTTTAATTCGGTCAATCCATAGATATATCTACTTCACAGAAAAGCATATCGACCTTGAGCACTTCATGCTCGGTCTATATGCTTTTCTGTGAAGTCGATATACATGTATCTATGGATCGACCTCATAAAAGGGCTATATTGATATACCACCTCACCCCCGAAAAAAAAATCGCTAAAACCATCTGTGAACGTCTTTTTTTTTTTTTTTTCACATTCTTTCCTCTGTAAGACGTAAGACTAATTAACCATCGTAACTGTCTCTATTGGCGAGTTCCCCATTTTTGAAGCAAAAATGCAATACAGCTCGTTGCGGCATTAATTTTCATTTCGACCTTTTTTTTTGAAAATTTGTTAAATGCATCCTGCATCCGAGTAAAACAACAATGTTTACGATTAAAAATAGCAATGGCATTATTTAGTTTTCAACAAAAGACTATAAAATGACATATGTTTTGTCTTATAACATATTTAACGATTAGGCGCTTTTTAAAATATTTTTAATGTCTTTCTTCATTCTAAAAAAATTAAACTTTAAAACGAGACGTTTAGTTGTGATGCGGTGATACCCCTTATGTTTTAAACATCTATATAATATAAATTCAACTTAACATCTTTAAACGAAAATTTCATTGTTAATTAGATTTATATATGTGCATCTTTTTGGTATATTATATTTGATAATATGACACCAAATATGAAAGATATGGACACTGTGGCATTACTTTTGGAACAACCCTCTTATTAATAATAAATTTACTGGAGAAATAATTCATTTTCATTATTTTTTTTTCATATATTATTTTACAAGATATAAGCTTTCATCATGCTTTGGAAAATTCTCTTAATTTTATTTTCAACGAAGAGTTGCAAAAAAGAAACAGGATTTTGAGTAAGGCCACCCTGCTTTAATCTGTTAATTATATCATAATTAATATATATAGATGGGGGAGAGAGCTCCCCAAAACAAAGATTTTTGCGAGCATCAAACTTGGCTGTGAATAAGTACAATATATATATTTTAGCAATCTCACACCTAATAAGAAAGTAAATTGAAAACATTAATCAATGTTTGCACTTTATTTTATTTTAAACATGCTTCTAGTACTTTCAACCTATATATTTTCTAGGATTGAAAATATATATAATTAAACATGTTATTCTTTAATAATAAAAAAACAATGCCATAAAGAAATCATAAACAATTAATTAGCATGTCCAAGACAACTTTATTTCATGTGACTTTTAAATCAGGAATCGTTGAGCTATGAGATTGACTGAAATGCATCAAAATGACTAGAAATAAGACTTTCAGCAAAACAAGCATAATATGGTGTTTAAAAATTCTATTTGTATGTTTATAGTAAGTGTTTTTAAGTCAAATAAGGGTATTGCACTGACCAATGAACACTAACATATATTTATTTGTAACCACCCCCAACCCCCAAATTAAGTAACAAAAATCACTCCATCATAATTTTAAAACATTTTTTTTCACATGAACAGTAGGAATTGAAATACAACACGATTACAAATATAGTTATATAGATGCAATAATGAAAAAAACTGAGAATTAATCATACACATAATTTATGTTTGACTGAGGGCTTTTAGATCTGGTGTAGCATTAGATAAATTTGGCACAAGAATTAAACAAAATCTACATCTTCAGCATTGAATGTTAATAATGTCTAAGAGCAAGAAGACTGTCATCTTTAATCCAGGTATGAATCACTGCGGTATTCTATGTGACTTAGAACATGACTGTACATGTAAACTACTGGCCTGTTGATCTTCTTTATCAGCACACAATGTAAACAGATTTCCATGAAAATTTTTGTTGAACTAGTTGAACATTCTTGCACAGAACATGAGGTATATTTACTAAGTAAATAGTAACCTACGCTTTTAAAAGGTCACAAAGTAAAATGTAAAGACAAATAAGCAAAATCACAGTAAAAAAAGGTAAATTAATACTCCAAGCCTTTGATTTTATAAATTACAATGCCCTAACTAAAGTGGCTCACGACCAGTTTTGTCTCTGTTGTCTTAGGTATTCATTCTGAAGCTCTTTAAGATTTTGCTCCAGCATCTGTACCTCATCCAGTTTCCCTGCCTGCTTGGCCTGTTTTATATAACTACGAATTATATTCATCTGCTGAATCATGGGATCATCTGTGTTATTAAAGTTAATGTGAGACGAATCGTTAGGGATCCATCCCGCTAATTTCTGGGATCCTGATCTCTCTCTACTCTCTACCTGTTTCAGCTGCTCATGCCTTGTGATCTCTTTCTGCTCTCTCTGTTCCTTGGCTCTCCTCTCTTTCTCTTGAGCTTCGAAGGCAGCTTGTCTTTCGGCGGCGATTCTTTTCTGTATTTCTAACTTTCTTGCTTCCTGTAGCTTGACGTACTGTTCCTCGGTGGGTAATGCCTGCAGGCCTAACATATTGTCCTGCATAAAGTTTGTGGCATATGTCCTTATTGCCCGTTGTAGAAGAAGCTGTTTCTGAGAAGGCTCTTCTTCACTGTTCAGGCCAAGATTAAGAATCCTTTTGCTAGAAAAGAAAAGTATCAATTATAATGTTGCAATTAACTTAAAAAGTAATTTATTAAAAATTTTAAATGTTACTCAATACTGTGACATGGTACATTCATTTCTATCAACTTACAAGAATACATACCTTAGTCCATCAATTGTTTCATAGAACTTAGTAATTTTTATTCTGTATCGCTGGGCTTCTTGCAGGTTATACATTGACTCTCCACAACTGAGAAAATGGAGAGAAAAAGACCAAGTCATACCTTTATCTAACATGATCTAATATATCAAACAAAATATGGATAAACAAACACTATTCAAGTTAAAAATTGGTTCCATTTAAGAAATGAATTTAATTTTTGAAGATTCATGAGGTTATGAACTACAACGCTTCACGCCGGCATATTTATCATGAAGCACTAACGCGCTTCATGAAATATACTGGTGTGAAGCACTGTAGTTCATACACCTCATGAATCTTCAAAAATCAAATTCATTTCTTATATTTACATTATTTTTCTGATGCCTTGTCATAAATTTATGCCATTCAACTGTCATTTTTAAAGCAAAACCTTGTGCACTATATTTTTT